TGAGCTATGAAGCCACACATTGGGAGCGAGGCCAATTAATTGAGTTCATATCTTCCCGTGAGGAGTGAAACGATGTGAAGTTTATATGAAATAATTCATATTTGAACTGCGATTGTACATGAAAATGAAGAATGATCATCGCAGTTAATTTTCCAATTTAAGCAATTGGAAAGAAGAAGCTTAGGTATCGCGGAGGTCACGGGTTCGAACCCCGTTGAAGCCCTGATTTTTTTCAGGCTTCTTCTTTCCAAGTGCTTAAATTGGAAAATTTACTGCGATGATAATTCTTCACTTTCGTGTCACATATTATAAAGCATTTAATTTGTCGATTTCCACAATCCACAAGAGAGCACGTGCATTATGTTGGCTTGAGCAGAGTCAAAAGCAGTTCTGTATTGCGTATCCTCAATTTAAATGAGAAAAAATAAAAGTAAGTGAAATGTTAAAAATGAGATGGACAGCCTAAGAGCAGAAGCAAGCCACAAATCTTTAGCAACGATACAAACTATGGACTTATCCACAACAAGAACGATCTCACTGGTTACAAAATTTCAGATCTCTCCACGTTGACATTGAAGATGTTCAAAGTGATTAGAGCATTCAAAAAGCTGATGTTGCTGATATTTTGGTGGAAATAAGGCTTTGTTTGTCAGATAGAGCTGTACATATGCCCGAAGCAGATTTACTCCTTACAGAAATGACTTTCAAGACTCTAACATCAGAACTTGCTATGTCAACGCCGTATACGTATTAAAAATGGTTAAAACGGTACTAAAATTTCATACAGTTTCAACATTAATGATGTAGAAATTATTATAACAGTTATAAGCAGTCCAGTTCCAAATATTCGTGTTGTAGCTATCTACCATTCAAAAACTATTGTTACAATTTCACAGTTGATGGATTTAGCCCTTACTCATCTTCATAACTCAGAAATTACAGATGCTACAGTACCCACTGTGCTGATTGGGGATTTGAATATTAATCTAATGCAAGACACAGCAGATCAAAGGGCTCCCAAAAACCCGCTGATAACAGTCAGAGGATACACACAATTAATTAACCAGTATACTGCTGACTACCGTACACAAATAGATCACATTTATACAATGTAATACAACTTGTAATATTTTCAGTCAGGTACTCCAACGTCATACTACATTGATCATAAGCCTATATTTATTTCTCTGAAGGCTCTGTGATTCATATTTTTAATCTCAACTCAATATAAAAGTAATATCCGAAACGACAGTTTTACTTCACCTTCGTCATATCCTACCAATGCTAATCAAAATATTCCATAGCTCGATTAATGCACAACAACTACTATTACTCAAAACATCAAAATAAGAAACAAAAATTCCCTAAGCACACATTGTCCAATTAATCCCACAACTAATTTTACTCCTTTTCTTTGCTAGGAAATTTCCAGGAATCACTGAGTGATGCAGCAGCCGCTATTAATTTGGAACCAACTTTGGTTAAAGCCATTGAGAGAGGTAAGTATTTGGCGACTATTTCTGTTAACTTGGAGATAAAAAATTCACTATGTTCTTTCTCTGCAACTACAAGTGGGTGTTTTTGCTGTTCAGGAGTGTTGCTTCCACAGTGAAAGTAATAATAACTCTTTCAGGCAAATATTGCTCTTCATTCTTTAGGAGCCCGTGCTTGTATAAAGCTGAAACGTTACGAAGAAGCCTTAACCTGGTGTGACAAGGGATTGGCAGTATCCTTTGAAAACATGGCGTTACATCCTTTTTCATCCATAAACGATTCAAGCCATGTTACCTTTTGGGATTTGTAGTAAATAGTGGTCCATTGTAAAACCGACACAAAACGGTGCTCTCACTACCCTGCGTGACAGAGTTTCCCTTCTCTTTCTGCTTGGTGAGAGACGAGAGCAAAACCTCTGCTCACAATCATTTGATTTCCAATCGTGCATGCGAATGAATAGCTTGTTTAGGTGAGTTAATGTACAGCAATGGTTTTTGGAACTGTGTAAACAGTCAAAGATCGCTGGTTATTCATCAGATAAAAGTTCTGAGTTTGATGCGTACATGACGATCTCATGTCAATGCAATTGTAATTTTGTAGCCAATCACAAGGCTCTCTCAGGAATCGCTCACCGAGCAGAAAGAGAAGGGCACCTCAGTCTCGCATGGTATGCTTTCATAAGAGCATTCAATTCCCCATCCCAATGACTGTAGACCCAAATACTACTGATCTCTCTTTTTGAGAGAGGGGTAAGGGTACGAGACTACAGTTATTTTTAGAGCACTCCCGGCTTGAGGAATCTGTGACTTCAAGAAGGCAGCTCAAACAGTTTTACATGCACTTTCTACCTCCACGAAGGTGCATGGCAAATTTATCTGAGGAGAACTAGATACCACATCTAAAAATACTTGAGAGGGATGACCGTGAGAACAAGGCGAATATAGGAGGATTTACTCCCTTACTCTGCGTCACCCCTGACCCTTTTTCATGACCATTTCACTCACTGCCTACCCCACGTGGTTCCGTTGTGGTAAAACCATCTCCACTTCTCGAAATGTTTTTCCCACACCTTCCATAATTCCGCTTCAAAGCATAGTTATGTTTCTGTTCGGTTCCAGTTGGAATTAAACTTCTCGAATGGAGTATCTTTCTTTTCCAAGGTGGATGTCCCAACTTGAAGCAATCGCAATGCAGTTAAGTTCCCACTCAATCCTTTTGCTGTCGGTATCAGTTTGATTTCTAGAAAGATTCGGTTAGGTGGTAGGACCTTTATCCTGAGGATAATCACAATTAACAATACGATTATGAGCTAGACATTTCTATGAGGTGATAGGTGATCAGGCTGAAGGATTAGTAGCAAATCGATGTGTCTAAAGCCCAGGGTAATAATAAGCTTTATTGTACTGTGTAAATGTATTGCATATTACAGGTCACTTGATGAAAACTTGTTGAATTTAGGAAGCTTCTCTAAAATAAACTTTAAAAAGTAATTTTTCCATTTACGTTAGAAATAAATAACCATAGGCCAACATTCCTTTACCCCAAAACTAGGCAAATAACAACTAATTTATTTTATTTGCCGTTAAAATCAATATTCATGGCCTTTTTTAAAACGTGATGGCATGTGACTTGACCTCAAAAAGATTGACAAGAACAACAGGACATTGCTTAATTTATGGACCAGGATTCTCAGTGAACCAAATCCATCGCAAGAAACCGAGAGACAGAAAATGAAGAGCTTGCCTACCACTGAAACTGCAACAGGCCTGGTATATATTGTATAATATTGAGGATTGGTACAAGAAAGTATTTTCGTGGCTTTAATGGGAACATATAACCTTGTCTTGATCAGTTTGTAGCCTTTCCCTCTTCGTTTATGATACCAAAAATAAATTTCTTGCCCTATATCCAAAAAAAAAATAACCAACGTATGTTGAACGGGATTTTTAAACAGAAAGCTGTTATTTAATTGCAATAGACCAGCAGAGTGCCTTTACTAAAAGAAACTCTCGCAAAGGAGTAGATCGTCACACACAGTTTCTATAGCAACTGAGGAAGCTTATCCATTCGATCAAACTTTGAAGTTTGAAGACGAATACTATTATACAACTTATGATACCCAATTTTTTCAATCACGTGTATTTTTTATGCTACCTTCTACCAAAGTTTGTAACTTGTCATTAATTACAGTGAAACCTGTATTAAGCAGACTCCCTATTAAGTGGACGCGAGCTTGAGTCCCTAAATTTTTTCTTACCACATTTACTGTTAAATGAACCCGCATTCAGCGGACACCTCTATTAAACGGACGCGGATACCTATACTAAGAGACTCCTCAACATTGCTCAGCGATGTCGTTTTAGGGCTGAGCAGAATATTCTAGATTGATGCATTGACTGGCTGGACATTAGGCCATACGCGGTCTTTGATCTTACACTGTGTCCTCTTGATGACCCTACTTTTACGAATTTCTCTGCGCCCTATTTTTTTATAAACTTGGTGCAACAACAAGAACAACGACAACAACCATTTTATTTTGCTTAGTACACAGAATGTCATACAGGAAAAAATAAATTAAAATTATATAAGCAAAAAAACTACTCAAAATAGTAAGAACTAAACGAGCTGAGTAGTTGCAAGGATTATTACGCTTTAAATCGGTTGTAGGAAAAATATAGAAAAGTAGAGGTAGAAAAAATATAGATATAAATATAAACTGTGATTATATGGTTCAGTTAGAATGTGCTGATTGGACGTTTGATTATCAGTATCCTGCAATCAGGCATTATTCTTTTCCCTATGTTTTAACCAGCAAAGATTAACGAATTGAGCGTGGAGGGAAAGATTACAGGTTGAATTGTCTATTGATACGCGATGAAAAGTGGTTACCCTTCAATAAACGTGACGCAATTTCAAAAGGGTTAATAATTAACTATTGTTACACAATATGTCTATTGTTACACAATATGGGAGGTGCGGTGGCCTCATGGTTAGTGCGCTCGTCTCCGGATCGAGCGGTCCGGGTTCGAGCCCTGGCC